GTTGAATCTCATACAGTTGGCCTGGGCCCATCGATCCAGCCTGTCCAGGTCCCTCTGCAGAGCCTTCCTACCCTCCAGCAGATCAACACTCCCGCCCAACTTGGTGTCGTCTGCAAACTTACTGAGGGTGCACTCGATCCCCTCGTCCAGATCATCGATAAAGATATTGAACAAGACCGGCCCCAAAACTGGGCCCTGGGGAACACCGCTCGTGACCGGCCACCAGCTGGATTGAACTCCATTCACCACAACTCTCTGGGCCCGGCCATACAGCCAGTTTTTTACCCAGCGAAGAGTACACCTGTCTAAGCCACATGTACCATTATATTACATGGTAGAATTTTGTGGAACCATATACCTACAGAGTCCAAACAAAAAACAAGACCAGAAGAAACCTGGTAGGCAACATTACTTTTGCAACGAAACTGTGAAGTTATTTCTCTAAGCTCTGCGAGCAGAGGGGTAGGGCACAGAGGGCAAAACCTGAACTGACAGAGAGATGCAACAACTGCCTTCACAAAGCCCAAACAGGACAGCCTTTTGAATTCTTTTTTTCTTAATGGGATTGAAAATTAATTTTGAAATGTCGGTATTTTCAGCAAAATAGATGATAATGAACAATGCTAACTTCTCGGGGGAAAAAAAAAAAAAACAGGTAGGCCACAGGCAATCCAATTTAGGCACCTAAAATTACTGGAAGCTTTTGACTTTGATCTCTGCAACTCCCACTCCCGTCAGTCAAATTGTCCTGAATGCCATAGAAGAGCATATCAGGAAATTAATCATTCTAACTTCAGAGCACTGTTTGACTAGTTTGCAACAAACAAGGCACACGGCCATTAATTTAACTGTGAGCAGAAAATAAAATATGAAATAATTGCTCTTTCAGTGTGCATTAAATGAGGCAGAAGCCCTGAGGAAAGAGCAGCATCTTATCACGCTGTTAAATATGTATCACGACACACTGGAATTAGGAAGTAAAAGTTGCGGTGGCAAATTTATCGCTGCTGTTTCCTAGCTTCTGAGTGTTTGAACTGCAACTTAAAAAATAAAAGTTTCGTAGCTGTGTTTGTCTCTAAACAGCATAAGGAAGTGCACCCTTTTCCTTCATTGTAAAACGCCTTTCTGTTTTTATCCTATCTTTAATCAGGCAGGTTTCTGCCGTCAAGGTCAATACACATTCTTAAGCAAAAGATCAGAGTTAAGATTACTCTGTGAAGCAGAAATGTGAAAACATTAACTTTTGGGAGCTTTAAAATTCAGCTTAACCACTGGCATTGTAAGTGTAATTTATAGTATTCTTAGGCACGAAATGCACTACTCCACTCTCGATCTAGTACTTAAACAATTACTCAGATACTCTGAATATACATGAAGATAGGACCCTGTCATGGTTCAACCTCAGTCGGCAACTGAGCATCACACAGCCGCTCACTCACCTCTCCCCCCTGGCCCCCGGTGGGATGGGGGAAAGAATCAGGAGAGTGAAAGTGAGAAAACTCATGGTTTGAGGTAAGAACAGTTTAGTAATTGAAATAAAATAAAAATAATAATAGGAAGAAGAAGAATATGCAAAGCATGTGATGCACAATGCAATTGCTCACCACCCCGCTGACCAATGCCCAGCCAGTCCCCGAGCAGCGGCCCCCCCAGCCAACTCCCCCCAGTTTATGTACTGAGCATGACGTCACATGGTATGGAATGTCCCTGTGGCCAGTTTGGGTCAGCTGTCCTGGCTGTGCCCCCTCCCAGCTTCTTGTGCACCTCCAGCCTTCTCAGTCGGTAGAGCATGGGAAGCTGAAAAGTCCTTGACTAGTGTAAGCACTGCTTAGCAACAACTGAAACATCCGTGCGTTATCAACATTATTCTCATCCTAAATCCAAAACACAGCACTGTACCAGCTACTAGGAAGAAAATTAACTCTATCCCAGCAGAAACCAGGACAGGTCCATCCAAATAATAGACACCCTCTCAGATACACTATTCCTCATTCCCCCTCCAAGCGCACACAGAGATAAGTGGGAGTTTTGTCAGAGCAGACACGTTGCAATGAAATTACATGTTTTAGTGAAGAATACACAAAAAACACAAAGCGCACGCACAAAAAAAGCCCACTTACTGTAAATGGTACTGCTGACCCATGTGCCAATTTACGCAACTGGAAAGCTGAAAGTAGGATGTCAGGAAATTAAAACGGTTTGATGCGGCAAGGTGCACAGCTGTTATGCCTAGAGTTCTCCTCTAGCTGCCCTCAGCTGTTGAAAGACTTTCTTCAAAATACAGTTACACTTATAGGTTAAGTTCTTTTTTTTTTTTTTATGTCCTGTTCTTGAACGCACTATTGTTTTATTTTTCCCTTCATTGAAACTTTTGGTCATCCTGGGAGACATTACTGAATTGACTCAGTTAGATGCACTTTTCCTCAGTTCTGCAGGGACATGCTGGGCCAGGGAACCCATCTGAGCATGTTTTCTCCTCTCCTCAGCTGCCCCAAAGAAGTACGTCACTCTGTGACAGGGACAGGCTACCGTCAAAGTGCAGCAAGCACTGGTCAGTGCTGCCACCACCGATGACAACTGCCCTTCTGTTTTCTTCTCCTGTCTTTGTTTTCCTCACCCTGCCTTCTCTGCTCTTCTAGTGCAGACCTCCCCTCATTGTCCCCTCTTGCCAACCCTCTTTCACCCCATTCATTCAGACCTGGTTCATGAAACACATCTGCAATGTAATATGCCCAAACGGGGGGAATAATCTGAAAGACATTGAGCACAAAGAAGAAACCCAGACAAGCAGTAAAGCTAGAGCAGAGCTAAGGCAATGGAGGGGAGTAAATCAGGCACTCTGATTCCCTGCAAGTTCCCTCCATTTACAGTTCACCCACCTCTGTGTTGCCATCTCCCAGTGCTTCATTGCCTGCTCTCCTGAAAACACTCTTGCCTTCAGCCTGCAATTCTCTCTTCCTCCCATTTTAAGCCTCCACTTGGGCTTCTACTCCATCCATACCCCATCACAGCCATCTTACTCAACACCAAGAGTAGCAAACCATTGTCTGAGTTCTCAGTATCAAATTATTCAGTATCAGCCTGACCCAGTGCCAATGAAATCTACACAGCCTGAGAAACTGCGAGTGTGCCAGAGGGAAGTATGTATGTTTGGCCTATTCTTACACTTGCTCAAGGAAAAATTTAGGATTGCTGATGGAAACAGGGGAGTTTTTTGTGTCTAGTCATTAGACTAGTTTGTGAACTGTCATTCTTGTGTATAGAATTTTATGTCAGTAAATGCAGAACGATCAAAATAATTCTAAAAACTCAGAACCTACTCTACTCTCAGAAAGAATCCTTTTCGTCCTGGATGACTCTCTCCCATATATATAATGCATTAATATCATAATAACTATGGCTCTTACAAAACTCCAGACTTGTTTTTAAGTTCCACCCCTTATTTTATTAGGACTGTTCCGCAAGAACAATGCTTTTCCTCAATCCTTGCCTCCCACCCCACTCTTGGCAATAAAGTATCTGTCCTTGTACCTGCACATAGTCAGCAATGGAATTGTCATACATTTCAGGCTCATCAAATTACTCACCTCTGCACCTGAAAGTCAAGCATAAAGTCACACCACTGACAGCAGCAACACTTGCAGATCCTCCTATCAGGAGATAGGGAAGCCTGGGGGAAGTGTCTGAGAGATGAGAAAAGAAAGCTAGTTACAGAGCTAGACATCAGTATCCACTGACTACATGATGTTACTACCTACCTTAATCAGAGGAGAAAGCTAATCCTCTACCCCCACAGCTCAAGTGAGCTGAGAGACACCGATGAGATGTCTGGGTGCCAACCAGCAATAGGAAACTGCCTCACACACCCAGTCATTTGTGTGTACAAACACACTTTCATTTTCAACTCATCTGCCTGCACCATCTCCCTTTCTTCAAGCGATATTAGCACTGCAACAACAGAACTGACTAGCCATCCCTGCACAATGCTGTTATTAATGACTGGTCTATGCTGAATTCTGTCCTTCATGCCTCTACTGAGATATTTTGGCAATATAAGCACTTGTTTAGCTGTTCTTACAAATCCTACTGGCATAGACCTCTAATAGGTCCAGCACAGCCTGCTGAGAACCTGAATTTTACCCTGTACTACCTTTGGCCCTGGGAAAGAGCACCTGAAAGTCACAGACAGACATTCTCCAAGGAATCTTTCTCCAGACCATCAATGCTGTGGGAAGCTGGACAAAATTCAACTCCAGGGGTTCAAAGCTTCACATACAAAATTAGCGAGCTGTATCATGGTGGCTGTTGAAAGCAACTTTTCTGTCATCAGTGATTAAAAAGGTCACTGAAGCAATGTATTTGGTTTGTGTGGCAAGGTTTTGGTAGTGGGGGGCCTGCAAGTATGGCTTCCGCAAGAAGATGCCAGAAGTTTCCTTCATATCTGACAGAGCCAGTGCCAGCCTGCTCCAAGACGGACCCGTGCTGGCCAAAGGCCAAGCCCAAGCCCATCAGCGATGGTGGTAGCGCCTCTGGGATAACATATTTAAGAAGGGGAAAAAGACTGCTGTGCAACAGCAGCCAGGAGAGAGAGGAGTGAGACTATGTCCTCTGTGATAACATATTTAAGAAGGGGAAAAAAAAAGACTGCGCAACACCAGCAGCAGTTGGAAGAGAGAGGGGAGTGAGAATATGTGAGAGAAACAGCCCTGCAGACACCAGGGTCAGTGAAGAAGGAAGGGGAGGAGGTGCTCCAGGCACCGGAGCAGAGATTCCCCTGCAGCCCATGGTGAAGACCATGGTGAGGCAGGCTGTCCCGCTGCAGCCCATGGACATCTACGGTGGAGCAGATATCCACCTGCAGCCCGTGGAGGACTCCACACTGGAGCAGATGGATGCACCCGAAGGAGGCTGTGACTCCGTGGGAAGCCTGCGCTGGCAGGACCTGTGACCTCGTGGAAAGAAGCCCACGCTGGAGCAGGTTTGCTGGCAGGACTTATGACCCCGTGGGGGACCCACGCTGGAGCAGTCCATTCCTGAAGGTCTGCACCCTGTGGAAAGGACACACGCTGAAGCAGTTCTGAAGAACTGGCAGCCGTGGGAAGGACTCACATTGGAGAATTTCACGGACTGTCTCCCGTGGGTGGGACCCCACGCTGGAGCAGGGGAAGAGTGTGAGGAGGAATGAGCAGCAGAGACGAAGTGTTATGAACTGACCACAACCCCCATCCTCCACTCAGAGGGAGGAGGTAGAGAAGTCGAGAGCGAAGCTGAGCCCAGGAAGAAGGGAGAACTGGAGGGAAGGTGCTTTTAGATTCATTCTTATTTCTCACTATCCTACTCTGATTTGATTGACAAATTAAACTAATTCCCCCAAGCCGAGTCTGTTTTGCCCATGACAGTAATTGTTAAGTAAGCTCCCTGTCCGTATCTCGACCTGTGAGCCTTTCATCATATTTTTCTCCCCCCATCTTGTTGAGGAGGGGGAGCGATAGAGCGGCTTAGGTGGGCACCTGGCGTCCAGCCAGGGTCAACCCACCACAAGCAGAATGAGGAACTCTTGTAAGACAGAAGAGGGATAGAAAGAAGCACGCACAGAAAGCTTCCCCGTACAATGCCATAAAACATTTGGTTTCAACTGACTAACACAAAATTATTGATTTCTCTATCAACACTTTGGCCTATCACCCCATTCAGCAATCTGCAGAGCCCTGGCATTCAGTAGGAACAGCTGCATAGAACAGCACAAAGAAGCCCAAGAGCATCATGAAGAGCAATTACAGAACAATGTTATTTACATGACAGGTCTGGTTTGTAGCGGGGTGCGTAACCAGGCAGGCGGCAGTGGGAAGCATGCTGTTGACCCAGCCTATGTAGCTCACTCTGGTCACTGTTCCATTGGGGTGATGGACTTCTTCCTCGGTGCCGTGATTGCTTGCAGGGATGCAGGAGGCGTCAGCAGCTGGCTTTCCAACAGATGTTGACAGGCAGCCACCCTGCTCTTGTCACAGGTCAGATTCACTGTAGGAGGGACTACAAAAGAAGCAAAAAAGTCCACAACCTTTATGCCTAGTTCAGTATAAAAGTCACCAACTGAAAAACTGAAAAATAGGTGATATTTTTTAGTTTGCATGACCAATTCAAGAGATTTTAAAATAATTTGGAATATTGGCACCGACGATCTTTAGGAAAAAAATACATCAAAAAGTCCAAGGTGAATACCTCCAAAACTAGCTAGCTGCATCTAAAAGTACTGCTTCCTCATGTTTTCCAAAAGATGACTACAGGAGTAACAGGAGAAGTTGGGATGACAGAGGGGGTGGATTAAGTGAAGATTTCTAAGTACAGCGGTGCACATACCAAAGAAAACACAGCTTGCGGAAGCTCCAGCTAAAATATTTAGGAGATTGGGTAGGTAGAATCAAGAATTTGGTAGCAGGGAAATAAAGGAGGAATCGGACAAAACTGTTCTGCCTAAAGTCCAATAACTCATATTCTGCATGAGACAAAACAGGCAAAGGCTCGGACAATACCTAAGCCATTATCAGAAAGGCAACGTCCTGCAGGGAAGAACAAACAAACAAACAAAAAAAAAATCAAGTGACAAAAATCAATAATAGCAATTATAGAGTTCCAAAATTCATTTCCCGTAATTTTTAGTTATATTCAGAAGGCTTAACTAATATGGCCAGAACACAAAATCTTCTCCTGGTTTTTTTTTTTAATTTATGGAAACCTAGAGATAGTTTACCTATCTGAAAAAGATGATTTGATGTATTCCTTATGTTTTCTAATATTCTTTTGTTCCTGCCTATGTTGAAAATAGACTAATTTAATTTTTATTTTAGTGATGCAGTCTTATAGACAGCTTTTAGTATTTCTGGAAGAGTAAAAGATTTCCAAATAGTGTCCTGAAACTTTTGCTTCCTTCCTATTCAGCTCTTACCCAGACAAAACACACATTGACCTCATTGTGAATTTTGGTTCAGCATCCTCTTGCTCAGCTTATAGCAGCAATATTTATTTGATATCTTCTGTTTGCATTAACTTAACCAAGAGGGTATACTCCTGGTTGTGTGAACATTCACACAACATTCAAATCCCATGTTATGCCCAAAGAACTCTCTCAGAAACTATGCAGACTGTTGGATTTGTGCATTTTAAAGCCTCTCCTGTTCATGAGTCAGAAGAAGTTAAAAAAACAAACACAACCCCCCCAGATTATTTCTCCACAGAAAAGCCAAGTCCTATTGCGTAACTCCTCATGCCTTTTTTCCCCCCCCTCCAAATAGCCAGACCAGCTTACCTCTTTATTTTCGATTTTGGTATGCATCCAAAACGAATTTTGTCTTTTACCACCAAATCAAATAATTTTTATCTAAACACACACACAAAAAAAATCACAAGGCGTGTCTTACCTATCACAGTCAGAGAAGAGAAAAAAAGAAAATTCCCTGCGCTGCTGGCAATTTCACAGGTGTAGTTTCCCTCATCACCAAGGTTCACAGGGTAAATACAAAGAGCGGGGTCACTGTCAGGTGAATATTTCCACATCATCCTCTCACTGCAATTCCTTGTCTCATTGTGATCGCTTCTACAGGCCAAGGAGCAAGTGCTGCATTTTATTTTTCACATCACCATTAGCAAAGACACCTTGGAGGTGTAAGGGCAACTCAACGCAGCCTCATGACCAGCCTCCACACTCACAATGTTGTGAGCTACGTAAGAAGAAAAAAAAAACATTAAAAATGATGCTACAGCCATCGTCAAAGCACAGGAAACTCTTGGCTTTATCACACTTAAAACTTTCTACTTCCTTACTGTACTGGCAGCCTGGGGGACACATTGCTCTGTGCAGACACATATAAGCAGCATTCGATTTCCAGGTCCAGCTTCCTGCTGTCACTCTTTGAAGTCTGGAAATGCGGTGGAAACGGTGCCTTTCCACTGTGGACACTGTTGCAGGTATGTGAGGCATGCTGGTGAGCTGCAAGTCCTCCATCTTTTTTTAGGCAAGAGATTTCTATCACTTTAATATGGGCTTTGAAAAACTGATGGGGAGGGCAAGATTCACCCTTAAGAGAAAGGAAACTACTTTTTTAAAAAAATATTGTGTTGTTGAATTAGGCGCCTTGGTTAAAATGCAAGTAAAACCAGGGGTAGCAGTGGAACATATGCTTGTAACAAGGTTAAAACCCAAGATCACTTGGTGCAGTAGGTCACGAGGCATATGTCGATCCCTTTTCTACCAGAAATCATAGCTCTCCTGATATTGTCCCAGTTGAACAGGAGACGGGTCTTCAGATGATCTGTGTTGGATTCCTATCAGATATCATCCTGTGCCACTCTGCAAGGCACACGATTATTTTGCCAGCTGAGGTGACATCACTCTTTGCATTCACATTAAACAATAAGCAAGATTTCCCCCGGCGCACTGTGAAGTTTCACTGTACTGGTGAGTTGGAAATACAGAGTACCAAAGAGTGCTGCATGTAGTTTTGGATCTTTCTCACTTACCTGGCTTTTCAACCAGATTTATTAGCAAGAAAAGGAGTGCAGCCAGAACTGCCCATGTCTGAGCCATCTTTAGCAGAACGAATCAGCACTGCAGAAAGTGAAGGCAAAGAAAATGGCATGTAGTCACAAATTGTTGTGCAAATCCCTTCAAAGAGAACACGTAGGAAAACCTCTGTTTCCTTTGAAAACAGAGGTTCTAAACAAGACCCCATGTCAAGTATCATTCTTGTACTGAAGTAAAGCAAAGCAAAAAGGGGTTTGAAAATAAAATAATAAAAAAAAACCAACACACTACTGTTTACAAACAAGTTTTAAAAATCCAGGATCTCCGATACCATTTTACAGGCATCTCTAGCTGCTCACTATTCATGCCCAGCTAGCTAGCACAACGATAGCTACAGACCTCTTACTGCCGCTTCACAGACTTACCTGCAGAAGATGAAAAAAAGGTTTTGCAAGAGCAAACATGCACACATTACAAATCTTTCTGAAAAATGAAGGTAACAGCACGTATTCAGGATCTAGACTTCATCAACTGTTTGACAAAGAAATGAGTCCTAGCTCTTGCATGCTTTTAATTTCTTGAAGGGTAACTCCACTTCTGTAGTAGAACAAAAAGGGCAACCGTCCTATTGCAAGAGGTCAAAAACATGTGAGTTTCTTTCCCGCTTTTGTAGACGCAGTGAACTAAAGAGGCATCTAGTAACTTTTGCTGTTCTACAACTATATATACTTTTTATCAAGCCATATCTTATAAATTGCTAGCTCCTTTTTGGCAAAAGGAGCAGTTTGTTGGTAAGATTGAGACAGTGCTGTCATCCCAACACATTGTTTTCTGGTCACACAAAAAAGCAGAACTCCATGCTATCCAAAAGCTTTCCAATCAAAATATATATGGTTCTCAGTGGAGAATTTGGATGTAAACCCATTCAGCTGTTGCTTGAACACGGATTTGGCTAAGAACATCACTGATACTTTCCTATGGTCAGATATCATATATAAATGACCCCAATTTGGCATGGCAAACTTGCACTACACTGTACTGAACAACATACATACGTATTCCCACAGTCAGACTCCCAGCCTCTTCTGCTCAGGTGTCAAGGACGAGCACCCTACTGCAGTAGGTACTCATGCTGGTTCTGTCACAGCAGAAAGGTTCACAACCAATGCACTTCTGTGCCCCCAACCAGCTGGGGGATAAAGCCGAGGTCTCGGAGTGTATGCCTGTTTCCACAACACTACAGTAGCCATATCTTGACTGCAGTTTTCTGACGTTACTGTCAGAAATCTGTGGCCACACTTTTGCCTTGAGGCTTCCTGTAGCCTGCCCATAAAGCTATCTCATTTTCCATCACTCGCCTCTGCATTCCCTCAAATTGTCTTCTTGGTAGACCTCTTGTCATTCTCTCCCTTACGCCATCATACAAATGATCTCTCTAATCTTTTACTTTCTGAATCAGGCATCCACAGCTAGAGATGACTGGAAAATTGTGTTTCCATCCCATGGGAAATCCTGATACATTGTTTTCATTCCCAAGTCAAAACCCAATACGCACCAGACAAGCAAATATCTTTGTGCAATGGTTGAGTCAGAATGTCGTATGTGTTGCAACAGGACTTTCCTTCTGGGCTGTTTAGATCACGCGCTGTTCACACCCATATTTAAATACAAGCATGCTTCTCGGTATGTGCTGAGAGGAGAGGGAAAGGCAGCCAGGGTTCACTGCGCACACAGAAACCTAAATCCTCATCTGGTATCAACTGCTGTAAAAGTAACAGGCTTCAATTATGCAGCATTAAAAATTTCATTTTAAATGTAAAATATATCAAGTGAGGACACCTGGTGCACAGAGGAAAAACCAGAACACTGCCACACTTCTAGCACAGAAAGAACAAATGCTGCCACATTCGTGAGCCGGGTGCAAGAGGCAATAGCATTTTCTTAAACACAATGCGATACGTGTGCACATTCAGACAACAGCCTGATGGTTTTCTGCACAGTTCTAACAAAACACCAATGCATCTGGATGAAAAGCTTTCATTGCAACCTGGAAACAACGTCAGTGCAACCACATTGATCAGTAGTCTGCTACTAACATGCAACAGGCAACGTAACTCACATTAAAAAAGACTCCCAAATTTAATTTTTGTTCACTTAAAGTCTTTGCACCAATGAAATATTTTGTTTTGTTTCATGTTATTCGATACTGTCAAAAGGTTTGGGGGGGTTTTTTTGCAATTTGGATAAATTATGCATGCAAAAGTTGCTTTCAATCAAAAAGTTTGAAAGTTTGAAAATTCTTTTAACTAAAAAATAAAAAGATTCTTTTTGACCAGAATTATGTACTGAATTTGACCCAAATTGCAAACAATTTTTCAGTCTCTTTCCGAAGAAAAGTAAAAGCAAAACCTCCACAATGTTTATCAGCAAATTCAGTATTCACCAATTTTGATGGATCTATAAATATTCATAAACAGAATATTGTCACATTGGAACTTGTCCCAGAGAACTATCATTTTTAAAATGCATACAAGTCTCATATATATGGGGTTTATTTGCTCAAAAGAACAGGCATTAATGAGTAAAAGTGGGGCCTTACAGAAAGAACAGAGTATATTGCTCTGTTTAAATATTCATGTATGAAACGCAGAATTTAGACTGCAATTTTTAAGGTTCACAATCCTTGAATACTTGTGCCTGTAAGCGAGAAGTAAGTCTCAAAGTAAAACCCAAAAAGGAGAAACCAAGCACAGCCGAATCAAATTCATTTAGAAGTAGCAAATGAATATTTGTAGATTGTCTTGTGTTATTTCCTTTGATGGAATTAAAATGCTTCAGTAACTACATTAAAATAAATTAAAATTTTTACTCAGCCTTGACGGCGGTGGCTGGCACAAGACCGTGCAATATGTGCGTCACTCTTCCATTAGCCTCAGCCTTCCAGCTGGGGAACGGCACCGCTCACGCTCGGATTCATCCCAATGAATGCTGAGGCTGGAGGAAAGTTACCCAGTTGTCAGCCTGGAGAAGAGCCCTCCGGCCGCAGGAGCATGGGAGATGAACAGCGGCAGTGCCAGCGTGCTCCGGTCTTCCGATACTCGCCACCCTGGGGATGAGGAGAGAGACGTTAGCGCATGCAGCCGGTCCAGCGTGGACACCGGTCCCAGTGGCTGCCTACGGGGCGGCTCCTGCGCACCAGGGAACTGCAGAGATGTACCTGGGGCTCCCCTCCCGCTCTGTCCTCACGAGGGACCCGGATATAGTTGCAAAGAAGTGAGAACTCTCTCAGTTTAGGACCGTCCATCCCAGATAGTCCCTGTTTTCAGCTGTGCAGTTCATTAATTTCTTTTCATTGACGCTCCTGAGATCTTAACACGCAGCTGATTTGTCTCACAGACAGATGTAGCCTATTCCCCCTTCAAAAGAGTTCAGTGAAAACAAACCACCTGGTTGTATACTCCCCTGAAAAGGATGCGACACAGTTAAAACTAGGGGAAAAAAACTGCTTTCTGACATGAAGACCAAACCGCAACCTTGAGTTGTCTGCTATTACACATCAAACACAAGCTACAAGCCCTGAGCTATGCAAAGCACCAACTTAAAATCAGATAAATGAAAGTCCAACACAACAAAAATATATTTTAACACAGTCTGAAGGAGGAAAAGGTGCAGATCATAAAGAACCAGGTATCAATCACTACATCAGTCATCACCACAACTTTTTAAAAAATAACCAATATGTCACATAGCCATTCCCACGCTTAAGTCAGCAAAATATGGCTCTGCTTTGCAGCGGAAGCACATTTTAAAGGGTAGAGAAGACCCTGCCTCAAAAGTCGGTTCTCTGTAACACCTGGTGTCTTTGGGCCGGGGAGGGCTGGAAGGGACAGCAAGAAGAGGAGGCAGTTGCACGCAGCTGTGTCAACTCTCCCACTTCTTGTACAAGGATAAGGTAACAGTAAAGACTGACTATTCAAAGCAAGGCTACATTATTTAAAAATCCAAACCCACGCTTTTAACGGTCAGAGCCTTCATGCAGCAGCACCATCCACTACAAGGCATTCGATGTTTCCACCTTGCCACCAAGGCCTCTCCTCAAAGCCACGCTCCTCGGTCACTCAGCTCTCGGGGGAGGCATGGTTTCTGCAGGTGCGAGTCCTTGCACCCTACGCAGGGCTGGCTGTCATCTCAGGAGGCCAGCAACCTGAATACTTGCTGAATACTTGTCAACCACACAGCAACTGACTCGGAAGCCTGCAGGCAGCCAACACCTTTTCCGAAGTGAGAGATGCTGGTTATGCCATATTTTCAACATCCCCGGGTCAGCCTCCACTTTCAGCTGTCCTTTTGAGCGTGGGAAAACTCTGGAAGCTGGCGTTATCCACTGGTACCACATTTGCAGTAAATAACTGGAGCAGTTCAAATGGCAATTTAAGAGGCTCTCCCATTTCTCCTCAAAGTTTTAACACGAGCTGCTAGGCACCTGAGTTGCATGAGTTACCTGAAGAAATGTAGCAGCAGATATGTCCGTGGGTCTGCACTCCCTGTGCATCTCAGGGGCCAGGCCATGGGTTATTTTTGTGCAGCCTGTTCACTATTTGAAGAGTTTTGCACCAGGTCTGGGAGCAGCCTGCAGTCCCCGCTCAGGGGACAGATTTGGCTCGACTGCTGCCCCAGTTTCTCCCGAGCAATGGTCCTCTCCTGGGAATTCCTCAAGTCCCTCCACTGGAAATGAAGTTACAGAATACAGGAAGACTTTGAAGGAAGACAAATCATATCAAAAGGGGCAGCAGGTAGATATTCCCAAAGCTGTTCATTCTCAGAAACCGAAAAGCTTTACAGGGAGAGGAGAGGTTGTGTTCTTGCTCTGTTCTTAGCCATCTCCTCAACCTTCTGCGGCTGGCCGCTGCAAATGCTGCTGGGCTAATGTACCTTTGGTTTGACTTTATAGCCTCCTGGTATTTTTATTCTCTGAAAGATACCCTGGCCCTGAAAACGCATCCATGAAGCCCTGTGCTAGCACAGAAGAAGATTGTTAGTGCTGTTAGCGACTGGAGGAGCTG